TGGCAATAAATTTAACCTGCTGTTCGCTGCTGACTTAAAAATATTTACCTCAATCTCATCAATTCAAGACTGTTACTTTTTACAGACCCAACTTGGGAATCGTTGAAAATTGGTGTAATGAAAACAAGCTGAATGAATGTGTCTAAATGTGAAGTATGTTCCTATACTAGAAGTATTATATATCTATAAGTTCTTGTAGCTTTGGCAATAAACATATATTGATTGATTAACAAGGTGGAGTTTGATTATTTACTTAACAGCCTACATTTATCGGACTTGTGCACAAATTAAAGATTAAGGTATATTATTCAACCAAAAAGTTACTTTTTCGGATTATATTGAAAATACAGTTGCTTCTGCGTTGAAAAGCTTAGGGTTCTTAATTCGTAATACTCGTTCTTTTACAAACTCTTAAAGCTTGGAGATCCTTTACTTTTCTTTAGTTCGTTCCAGGCTAGAATATGCATCTCTTATCTGGAACCTTATTTACAATATTCATAAAAGATCATACCATGTGTACAGTAACAAATTCTATTGTCAATGAACTTGATATATTTAGTTGCAATTTGTCAGATATAAAATCTCACTTTTTATCTTAGTTAATTTGTTACCTATTACGAAATACAAGTTCTTTTTATGTGCTTAACATTCATATAAAAAATGTGATCTATTAATAAGTATATTCTGTCAATTCCTGCTCTGTAATTGGGTTTATGACCTGTAGAGTATTGTATTATAAATAAATAAATAAATCATTGGAAAATGTTCAGCGGCGATCTCTCAAGTACCTTTCTTTTAAAATAGATGAGCTGTATCCCATTCGAGGTATTGAAGAATCTCTGCTTCTTTCGAAAATAGAAGGGTAGTTTCCAGTGTTACATTTTTTTTATAAAATATTACATAACACTATTGATGTACTATTTTTGATAAATTAAATAAATTTTAATGTTCCCCAAACAGCCATTAGATATCATAAAACATTTTATACAGCAAGTATTTGAACGAACTTGGGAAGAAATTCACCTATAAGGCTAATGTGCTCAAATTTTAATTAATTTTGTTCTGATTGGGATATTTATTTCGACCATTAGTTGTACTAATTTGTAGCTAATGTATTTAGGATTCTTTCTTTTTTTTTCTTGCTGTTGCTAAAATTATTTTCTGTCGAAATATTATGTTTAACATTTATTTCATGTATTTTGTTCTGTAAATGGATTAATTTGTTGGGCAATAAAATTATTTTTATTTTATTAAACAAAAAAATGTTTATTTTGATGCACCTACCACCTTTAAAAGTTTGTCAGTATATTAACGAGAAATCCTATATAATTCCCAAAGAAAAATATTTTTGGAATAAATTCCGAATTCTATTTATTGATATTTGTTATTTTTTAGGTTCAGTGACTCGAAACATGATGATCAGCTACACCAAGAATATCCTTGATACTTTAAAAAAATGGTACGAGATTAAGCAGATTTGATGCTATGTCACATTGTGGTGCAAAGACGTGGCTTGTATAAATTTGGGGTATCAGTTGATAGAAAACAGTACGCAAAAATAAATTTAAATCTGCAGATGCATCAGAGATAGCCATATTCCATACCACAATATGTCATGCGTGAACTCGATGAGATTTCATCGGCTAAGTATCATTCCTCTGTAATGTTTTGTATCATTAGGAACACGCAACATTGTAAACAATTATGACCAGGGTTTTCTGACCTTTTCCCTAGGTCAGAGAGAATAAATGAATACTAAATAATGTATAGTAATAAAGATTGAAAATATATATACTTTTAAGAGTTTTATTATGTCAGCCATAGTTTTATACCAAAAATGAAAATAAACTGAAATTATACATTAAAAATACATTCATAAATAACTATATTTATAACACTCATCGACTCTCTCCTGGCTAAAATATGACTTATCTATCTATTAGGCTCTGTTCCGTCTATTTTTTGCCTTTAGCCTCCTTCTGACACTTCCATTCGTTCTTATTCAGTGTAGTATTCACATAGTTTTCAGAATATCAAGTGTTATACCTATCTGATGCTTGGTCCTGCAAAGTTCATCTTCAGTACACCTGCTTATGTGACATCTATCTCGATGTCAAGTTTGATTGAACCAGAACTAGCTTAGACTTGAACGCATATGTCTAATTCGGCCAAAACACAGCCTTGGTACACAAATATCTATTTTACCGCTGGTTTCATGACAAAAAACTGGAGTAAAGGGTAAAATTATCTCTTGTCCAGTACACTCGTATAATACACTTGAGTATTGCCTATATTATTTTTGATTGAAGACGTATACATTTAAAAATGTCGTTTACTTAAAAATAAACATTTAATTTTGATATTTTATTTAACTCGATCAAAACATTAAATTATTATTTTCCATGGCTTATACCGGACCTGTATGTACTCTAGTAGCCATGGAGTAGCTGACAGTGTTGCCGTCAGTTGCAGCCACATATTCATTAGTGACATACGTTTTATAAATTCATCGTGTTAGAAATTTGTTGACATAAAGAGATAGAAATTTAAAGTGACGTCTTTTATTACTTCGAATGAAAAAAATCGATAATGCAATTTTCTAACCTAAAAAAAATCGTGATGATATGTCAAACAAAATTGAACTTGGCCTTAAGGGATTCAATATCATATGTTTTTCATTTATATATATCATAATATGTATTGTTTACATTATATTTATAAAATCGTTTTCAAATAAACTAATATTGATTAATAAAACTAAACTAATGTTGATAAAAATGCAATATTTGCTGACACATAAATGTTCGGACACATTAGTAAAACAAATAATAGAAAGCCATGGAAACAACAAAATAGTATATTATTAAACGAGCAATTTATGGTAGCCATTATTCACGCAGGGTGACGTTTGCGTCCCGAGCCGTAGGCGAGGGGCGCAAGTCACCCGAGTGAATAATGGCCATAAATTGCGAGTCAATACTATACTTTGTCCACGACTATTATGGTTTCTTTATTAAATAAAAGTTAAGTGTAGAATGGAAAGTTTTTATTAAACATAGGTAACTAACTGTTGTTTTTTCGACTTTTCAATTTTTCGATGTTACGATTTTTCAATTTTTCGATTTTTTGGATTTTTCGATTTTTCGATTATTCGATTTTCGATTTTTCGATTTTTCGATTTTTCGATTTTTTGATTTTTCGATTTTTCTAATTTCTAATTTTTCGATCTAGTAAATATCGTTATGAAAAGTATTGCCCATCTATCAGTTTAGACATACGTGCTGTCGTGACGTCATACCGTGAATAATGGATCATTATTCACTAGTGAATAATAGGTATTATTATTCTTAAGGAAGTACAAGTATAATGAATGTTTTATAGAACAGTCGTGGACAAAAGTGTTTATATTTTGACATTTTAACTTGAGAATTAATTCGATTATCAATTGGCTCCAAAATGTCGCGTGGTAAAGCAACAAATGGTGCAATTAGATAATTAATAATAAAACTGTTTAACCAAGGAAAACCCTTTCGGGATATTGCTAAACAAATAAATGTTGCAAAGTCCACGGTGTCAGATATTGTGAAAAAATATGGAGAAACGGGTTCAACTCAAATTTCAAGACATGGTGCTGGTCGGCCACGCAAAGTCACTTCCCGAATGCAAAGATCTCTTGTTCGGATTTGTAAAACTGATCGCCGAAGTACTATAAGGGAAATAACAGCAAAATGGAATGAAGAAATAATTGGAAATGTTTCACGAGAAACGTGTCGTCTCTGGATCCATAAGTCTGGTTTACATTTTTATAAGGTACGTAGGTGTTACGTTTAAGGAAAATCTCATATTTATGCAGTGAAATCATTGGTTTAGGCAAAAGAAAAGTCTTTGCTGACGGAAAAACAGAAGAAAAGACGATTAGCGTGGGCAAAGGAACGGGCAATGTGGACTTTTCAAGACTGGAAAAGAATCATTTTTAGCGATGAATCAAAATTTGATGTTTGCGTGGGTGACCATCGATCACGTGTTATAAGAAACAAAAATAAAGCCTTTCACAAAGACTGTCTAAAGAGAAAAATAAAATTTCCATCAGGTGTTATAGTATGGGGAAGCATGTCTGGTTTCAGTGTTGGAAAACTGCACTTTATAGATGGAATTGTAAACGCAGAAAAATATCAGAACATTCTTGAAACCAATTTGTTAGTGTCAATTCCAATTTTATCACCTGATGGAAACTTTACTTTTCAACAAGATGGCGCCTCCTGCCATACAGCCAAGACCACAAGAAAGTGGCTGCAGGACAACAATATTTTCGTCCTTGACTGGCCCTCCAGCAGCCCTGATCTAAATATAATCGAAACTGTATGGCACAAGATGAAGCAGCAATTAAGAAATGATCCATAGCGCAACATTTCTGATTTGTGGGTAAACTTGCAAAATATATGGGATTCTTTTACCGCAGAAGATTGCGAAAAGCTTGTTAAAACTATGCCTGATAGAATAAAAGCTGATATTAAGGCAAAGGGAGATGCAACCAGCTATTGATGTGATTTGTCCGAACATTTATGTGTCAATAAATATTCATTATTATCAACATTAGCTTAGTTTTATTGATCAATATCAGTTTATTTGAAAACAATATCATAAATATGATGTAAAACAATACATATTATGTCTTATAAATGAAAAACATGATATTGAATCTCTTAAGGAAATTTTCAAAATTTACGAAAAATCAGTTGATGTCCGAACATTTTTGTGTTAGGGCTCGTAAATAATGGATCAAATTTAAATATTTTTTGTCAAACATAATTAAAATATTTTTAAAAAACCGCTTATATATTTTCTATAAATTGTCGACTACTATTTCAAAAATAGCGCCCAAGATAAAAGGCCATGTCGCAACCCCCTTAGATTTACGAGCCCTTCCTACTGGCAGCTATTGTTTGACAGGTCGTTGGAATGCCTAATACCTTAAAAAAATAAGTTAGATATTTACTTACTTAAAACAATTTCTTTGGCTTTATCTACAGGGCAGTCTAAATAATAATTCACTAGCCAAGCTATTCCCGCTGACAGCCAAGCAGCTTCTGTAATCATCACAGCTGAAAAAAGAGTTAAAAAGATTAGGATAATTATGACAATGCTGAAAGGTTATTAAAAAAAGAAGAAAGATTATGAAAAAATATTTTCTTTGGATTTATATTATTCTTAGATTGTATGCTATATGCTATTAGTCAATAAACATTGTTGGTTTTTTAAGAGGTAGGTGGTTTTTTTTAATTTAAGTGAAGATATAATTCCTGTGTGACGTGACAGCACTTTCGACCATTCAAGTTTAATTTTGTTATTAATAAATGACAATACCAACAGTGTATTGAACAATTCTACTTTAAAATTTAATCTCTTCCCCCCTCCCCAACTGACTTATAAGACAAAGTATTTTCATTTTTAGTTAACGCCTAATCTGGGCCACTTATTACTTCAAATTTCAATTGTAAAACGACTGTGACAGACGGATATACAGAGATACATAAGTGTTTCTTATTGCCAAATTTGGGTACTAATGCTCAAATTACTTGAAAAATTCTTTGTTTTTATCTTACAAGTTTTATCGTTTTTTCATGTTTCGTCTTTTTCAAATTTAAATTTGATATTGTTTTATCACGAGAGGAACGAGACAAGACGAGAAAAAGGCTCTCTCGAGCGAGAGAAGCGCCTTCTCGTCGAGACGAGAGAACAGTTTTCTCTCGCCCTACGAGACGAGACGAGAGAGGCCACTCGTCTTGTCTCGCGGCATTTGAAAATTGGTTCGACTCTTGCAGCTTTTCATATATTTGGCAAACAACCCTCGCGTAAAAATTTATTTAAAAAAACAACCTAGGCTGATTAAATATAAAATTAAAAAAGTTAGAAATTAATTGACAAATTTCCTCACCTTTGCTAATCATACTGTATTACTGTATTACAATATTTTAAAGCATTTATAGCAAGAGTTGTTCCTTTTTACTTCCCTTGATCAGATCGTTAGTGATCGTGGAATAGTCACCCTCCGAGATTATTTCGAATCTTTACGTATCAGGGTCTCTAGATTAAGAAAAGCATGTTTTCCCATAGGCCTTTTCATCACAATTTTTTTTTGTGCGCATGCGTTAGTAACCGCCATCTTTTTCGTACTGTTTTTTGTAAAGAAACATGTTAAAATGTCCACGTAAAAAAAATAATCGATGAATATTAATTTTAAGTGTATTCATTTAAAAAATGGGATAAAAAAAGTAAAGTAATAAGTGTCTTAATTGAAAAATCAATTTTTGCAATCAATTAATTGTGTTATCTTTACGGAAAGGAACAACTAAACGGTATTATTATGAGTATGTTAAAGTGACACACGGTATAAATTATTATTTTATAAAAAGACTTGCCTGCAATATCGTAATAAACTATCAAATAATTAGGCAAAATACATATCAAAAGGAGCATTATGAGAGAAAAAAAATGTGGTCGAAGTAACAAAGGTTTTCGATCGATTGATGGATGATGTTACTAAAGATACTTATATTTGTTCACTACATTTTCATGGAGAAAGTGGTTCAACAGAAGAAAATCCTTGTCTGGTATTACACAATATTTTTTAATATTAAATACTACTTCGGTATAAACAGTAATATTATTAAAAATGTCACGTTGATCCTTAAAATTTTAAATAATGTATCTTATTAATTTTACTCGTGAATATCTTTCATGTTAAAGTGTTTTTGCAAATATTAATAGTTGGTTGGCATACTTAATTAGAATAGAGTTATAATTATTATTTGTTTTCATTAATTTTTTTACACAGTTAATATGTATTGAAACCTAACCTCTCAATCACCACACTTTTTTCCTTGTTCCGAACGTCCACGTCACTTCAAGAACCTTTTTTTAATTGCTCACAACTATGTGCTTCCACAAAATTATAAAAATGTAAATCACCATCAACGATTTTTTCTAATGATTGATTTGTATGTAGAGATAATATTACTTTTCCAGCCATTGTTGATCAAAACAGTACGAAACTTTTGAATTGGCGCTATTTTAATACTGCGCTTGCGCTTATTACATGATGAAAAGGCCTATTCCGTTGTTCTGTCTGTCGTCGTCTGTCTGTCTGTCTGTTATATTTTCGATCAATTATATACAAGGTGAGCAATTTAAAAAAAAATATTTATTTTTAAAAGTCAGAGATTTCGACCGAAATTAGTATCTGAACACTTTTTTAGTAGTAAAAGATAATAGATCCTAAGTAAGTTTTTAAAAATTCAAAATGGCGTTGAAAGGAATCGTATTTAATAAAAAAGGTCCCCCTTGAATGGAAATAATAAAAAGCATCCATTTGGTTTGTGTAACTGGACTATTTTAAAATCAGCCAATTAATATCGTTCAATAACGGTGAACTCGACGAAAAACACTGATCGAACGCGAAGTGAGAGTTCATGTGGTATCAAGAGGAAGATCGATGGAGAGAGGAAGGTAAAAAGGGTTTTTGGTTTATTGTTTTCAATTTTAAATTGTTAAAATGTAAGTGCTTAGGAGTTTCCTGTTTTTACAATTTCTATATCGAGGGAAGTTCTGGGTAAAATACTTTACCGATTTTTCTTTATTTAACACGTTGTCAAATATATTTTGTAGTCATTTGAGGTCATTTGTACGTTTTATTGTATTTGGTAGAAAAGTAAAAATAACTAAAAGTATACTCACTTAATCTGAGGTAGAGTATATACTGCATGGAGGCTCTTCTTCCTGTATCTAGAATGCTTCCACGCATGGCCACTACACAAACGCATATTTCGATGACCATGGAAAGTATTAAAATGACTAGATATCCTACCAGCAGGCCCCACAGCAAGAAAATGCATTGACGACTTTTGTCGTAGTTCACTAGAAAGAGTACAACACCCAGTATAATGGTCCTAAAAAAAAAAAGTTGTTTTATTTGTTTTGTAAATTCTATAAACTTTCTTGAGCAACATTTTTTGCTTTATTAGAAAAACAAGTTTATCCATATGATGGTAAACTTTTAACAGTTTGAAATTAATTTATTTTTAAATGTCTCGATTTAGTAAAATGATTAATTTAATCGAAGAAAACACACCAATAAATATCGATAACAGTAGAAAGTACTGATTGAGATGGCAGCACCTCTCATAGAGATAAGGCTTTTAAAGAGGGAATTCAAAATAGTGTTATTGATTAATTAAATTTTTCACTAAGTTTATAAAAAAATATTAATGTGTCCAGGTCAATGTATTCAAATATAATTATTGAAGGTATATTTTATAATATTACATTCATTTTTATAGTTTAAATATAATTTTTGCGAATAAAATATACATATTCTTCATTTACGTAATTTCTGCAAGTTCAAAAATGTTTAAAACATTTATGCAAGTTTCTTAACCCAAACTAATTTATTTTATGAAATAATGATCTCTCTTGATATTCTAGTTTCCTTGTTTTATACTTATAAAAAAAAAATTTCCGATTTTTTTTGAGAACAAATTATACAAACCGGATCAAATTTTGGTAAAATTATACTAAAGGTTGCATAAATACATTCACAATTTTGTTCAAAAATTTTGAACGTGTAGATACTTTTTCCAGAGGTCCATATAAACCTAAGTCTATTTCAATAAACAAAATATAAAATTATATTAAAGTTTTCTGATAAAAGCGATGCTGTTTCTTTAAATCAATAGACGAAGACGAGGGTTTAAATTCTGAATCCCCATGTATACGTTTATCTTTATATCGAGATCAGGATTTAAACAGGCGCGAGACCCTTGAATATGGCCTCGTTTGTCTTTCTTTTCCCCCAACTGCTGACTGGAATTCCAATTCGAAACACCACAGCGATGAAGGGTCGACTCTTAGAAGCTTTTTACGTTTATTTGGTCAAATATTTGCTCCAAAATGATGACGGGGAGTCTTAAGCTGCTTCACTAATAATCCTTTAAAAAATTATGACTATGGTTATTGTATCGTTAGTGCAAGTTATCAGAGAATGACATCGCTTTTTACGCCTTGAATATCTGTCATAAAATAAATTTTTAATAGATGGATGGATTTATAAAAGGTGAATTATTTTTAATGTTAAATACTGGATAATTTCATAGAGTTCGTTCCAATAAAAATCTTGGAACCGTATATATAAACCGGTCCACAACACATTATTGAAAAGTTATAAGGATGAGAAATTAGGGCATTCTAATGTCCTATTAACAGCAAAATAAACATGACCGATAAAAAACACAAAATTTTTTAATTTGACAGTGGAGTTTGGAACAAATATGTATTCTTTAGTGTGTTTTATTAACCGACTTTAAAAAAGGCGGAGGTTATCAATTCGTTGCAATATTTTTTTTATGTATGTTCAGCGATAATTCTTTAACACGGTCTCCGATTTCAATGATTCTTTTTTTGTTAAAAAGGGGGTACTTCAGGGGTGATTCCATATAAATTTGGTTAAAATCTAACAATTGGGCCCATGAGAAAATCCTCGAACTCTTCATTGTTTTAAGTATGTTTAGCGATAATGCTGTGTTTGAGTGGCATAAAAAGTTTAAAGACGGTTGTGAATCAGTTGAAGAAGAACCTCGTCCCGGTCGACCACAAACTGCGAGAAATGACACAAAAATTGCAGAAATTAACAACTTGATACAAAATGATCGCCGGATTGGCATAAAACGAATTTCTGACAATGTTAATTTGTCTTACGGTACCACTCAAAAAATTATTCATGAAGATTTAGAGTACCGGAAGATCGCGGCAAGATGGATTCCAAAAGTGATGACCGATGAACAAAAAGCGAATCGAGTGACAATTTGTCAGCAGTGGAAAAGGCAATTGCAACGTAACCCACAGTTTTTAAATAATGTGGTTACATGTGACGAAAGTTGGTTTTATCATTACGATCCTGAATTGAAGTCTCAAAGTATGTAATGGAAGCATAAAGGCAGCCCAAGACCAAGGCAGACCAAAACTGCTAAAAGCGCTGGTAAAGTGATGCACCTGAAGTCAAAAAAGAATTGAGAGGTAGAAGATTTGAGTCGGATTTAGAGCTCAACAACGCTGTGATGGGTATACTAAAGTTTATGATAAGTGGATAAAGCGATGGGATAAGTGTATTCAACAGAATGGAGAGTACTTCGAAGGATAGTTGTTGAATTTTTTTAAATAAATGTTTCGTTGTTATACTATAGCACCAGTCTCGTTATTTTCTGTTACATCCTCGTATATGTTTTAATGAAGTGTGTCCAGCATTACATTGCCTTACATGGTTGTAAATTGTGGCAGCAGAGTTGATAGAGACTTATCTTTTCAATTATTGTTCAATATCGATGGAAAAAGAAGAAAAAAAAGAAGAAGAGAAGAAGAAGAAATCTTAGAAAAATAGCGAAGTGCTAACAATAATGTTATAAAAGTTAAACTATTTTTTGTCAATTGGTTGCAAAACTTTTTTTTTAATTTGAATTTTTTGGCTGCGAGAACTGAGTCCATTCGTCAAACCACATAGATTATATATTAGTTTTATACTATATAGTAAGGATAATACGCTCACGTATAATTTTACAAATTAATTTTATTTACATTATAAGTATTTACCAGTTACACAGGTTTTTTTTTACCAAATTACAGCTTTTTTATTTATTTTTTGTATCTTTTTTTTGAGTTGCAGTACTATCACATGCAATATCACAAGTCATTAAAACAAATTACATTCTCATGACCTGTCAAATACACTTCCCCAATAAATTAACGCACTATCAAAAAATAACAAAAAGTTTAAACCACTTGTCTGATTTGGACGATTTTTTTTTTTTTTTTAATGACAGGTTGTCTCTTCCACAACGTCGGTGTGCTATGTTTGCATAAAACCCTCTTTTTTATTAATTATACCTTGATTTTTTCATAAAAGTTGTAACACCCTGTAGAGTACAACAGTTACATTACTAAGTTAGAATCTCACAATGTAGCCTTATCTTTTCTTAACAATTAATTTTTTTATTTACTCCATTATCTTTGTTATTAGACGAGAAACACTATTTTATAACATAACATGATTTTATTAAAAATTAATATCAAAATTTAACAATAAATACACGAAATAAGTTAGACGAGTGTCAGTAGCGAGAATTTCCGAGACCTTATGTCATTTTGATCCAATTCTTCCCATATTTGAATCAGTCTGTGCCGTATATCTTCCAGAGAGTTCAGATTACGTTCCTCTTGTAATCTCCTCCCAAGAGTATCCCAGAGATTTTCTATCGGATTTAAATCCGGGCTTTGAGCTGGCCATGCTTTGGTAACGATACCGAATTCCTCTAGATAATTTCTCACAACTCGAGCAACATGAAGCCTGGCATTATCTTGCATCAACAAAATTCCTTGCCCTATACAGGGTGTTTCTTAATTCATGCGACAAAATTCAGGAGGTGATTCCTCGTATTAAATTAAGATGGGTCTTTCCTATAACAAAATTTCCTCAGCCCACCCCTTTCCGAGATATCACCCTTAAAAGGTGGTGACTAAAATAGAGTTTTTATTTTTTTTCTAAAATTTCAGTAATATACTTTGGCTATAGGTGGTCATTTCCAGCATTTATTATGAATCGTATTACATTTTACATCGTTACTGTTTTCCACTCAATTTATTAAAAAAATTATAATTTATGGTGTTTATTTTTTTTTCTCTGCAGCTATTGGTTTTGGGAAAAAAATTTAGGAATAATTTTTTTTTTAAATAAAACAAAGATTTCAAGTTATAATTTTATTTCATAAAACTTCATCTCGAAAAAAAGTTTTGATATGAAATAAAGCAAGGGTTGCTAATTTCACCCCCCTATAGTGTAAAAGGAATATTGAAAAAATACCTGTGGTTAGTTCTTTGCGAGCGCACGAAAATTACAAAATTTCAAGTTTCTAGCTTAACTGAAATTTTAGAAAAAAAATAAAAACTCCATTTTAGTCACCACTTTTTAAGGGTGATATCTCGGAAAGGGGTGGGCTGAGGACATTTTGTTATAGGGAAGACCCATCTTAATTTCATACGAGCAATCACCTCCTGAATTTTGTCGCATGAATTTAGAAACACCCTGTATATGGTGCAAATGGAACTACATGTTCGTCTAAAATCTCCAATATGTACCTGTCAGCTGTAAGGCTTCCATTTAGGATTACAAGTTCTGTGTGACCAGTCAAAGAAATGCCTCCCAGACCATCAGAGATCCTCCTCCAAATAATGTTGTATGTGAGAAATTACACTGAGCATACCGTTCACGCGCATACGCCTGTCATTATTAAACAGACAAAATCGAGACTCATGAGTAAATAATTCGCGTCTAGAGACACGAATTTACTTTGGCTCCCCGGCTTCCGCATGCGTAAAATGGTGCATGTGGAGCGCAGAGAAGCGCGCCAGTTTTAAATTTGTATAAGGTAACTAAAGGTTTGTTCCAAAAACAATCTTGGAACCATACACAAACCAGTCCACGACTTATTGTCGACGACTGATAGTCGACGACCAGTCCACGATCTGTCGATGATTGGGACTAAATTCGGAACTTGGTTGTGTTGGAACACATGTTTCTGTTGTCAGACACACTGTCAATAACGTAAAAGAACAAAAAAACATTAACAGATGTTAAATTTTAAATTTGGTAAATAAAAAAATTAAAATTCATTAAAAGATTTATAAATTTTGATTATTCGACTGATTGGTACATTAACTTATTTTATTTTTTACTGTATCTAAGTCAGAATAATAGTCCTTTTCACTATCTACACTCAATACTCTTTCTTTGTATACTCAATAATATACTATAAATAATGATAATAAATAAAAATCAAATAACGATCGAGACTATGATCGATGATGCTATCAAAACGAATATAAATTTCCAGAGTTGGTCGAG